TTATCCTGTCCCTCCAGGCCTTTGGAAAGAATTTCTCCCCGTATTTCTTGTCAGCTGTTTCAGACACTGGAAAGTGAAATCAGGTCACCCAGGATCTTCTCTTCCTCAGGCTGAACAAACCCAGGCAGAACTTTCAAAACCCAACAAACAAAACGAAAACTTAGGTCTCGTCCTTCCCTTGTCGTCCTGCTAGCTTAGAAACGCGGCAATTATGTCTTAATTGTTTGCTAAACGATGTGGTGATTGAGGGGCCTTTCGGCTGTCATCAGGAATCCTCAGAGCAAAAACAATTACTCAGAACCTCGGGGAAGTTAATGACGGGCAAATTGCTAAACAAACATTCCTCAACATCGTGTTAAGTACCCCAATTAAACTCCCATTCCACATTTTAAACATGGGGAGCAGGGCAGATCCTGTGATAAGGAGCCCTCAGCACGCTGTGGAGTTCTGCTCCCGGAGGAAAAAATAAAGGGCAAATGAAAACCAGAGAGACTCTTGTGCAACACCAACACGGGTTTAATGTCAGAGAGAAAAGCAACAGCCGAGGGCAGGGAATCCAGGTGATCCCAGGGGCAGCAGGGAATGCAGGACTCGTGCGCTGGGAGCAGGGACTCGCTCAGGACCAGGATAGGCCAGGGATGGAGGGGTCTGGGCACAGAGTGGGGATGGAGGGCTGAGGGAATCCCTAGGGGATGGAGGGCTCAGGGTGTCCCGGGGAAGAGAGGGCTTAGGGTATCCCGAGGGGATGGAGGGCTCAAGGAATCCCGAGGGGATGGAGGGCTCAGGGCAGAGGGAGGGGAGGGAGGGCTCAGGGCACACCCAGGGCTGCTGGGCACACTCAGCTGCCACTGCCAGCAGCTCCTGCCTGGTGTCCCCATGGCCCGAACTGGGCTCCAGGGCCGGCACTGCCTCTGGGGGCTGGCACTGCCAGGGGGGCTTTAGAAAACCCCACAGCTTCCCCGGCGGGACCTGCCCCATCTCTGGGAGCCAGGCAGCGAATAGCCCAGGCCCCGCGAGGAGAAGCCGGAGCTGTAGGACCTCCCGCAATTGCCAAAGGAGCCCCCATAGCCCCCGAGGGAGCCCCCATGGCCCCCAAAGGAGCCCCCATGGCCCCCAAAGGAGCCCCCATGACCCCCGAGGGAGCCTCCATAGCCAGTGTCGCCTCCATAACCCAGGGAACTGCCATAGCCAAGGGAGTTCCCATAGCTCTGGGAGCCCCCATAGCCCCCACAGCTTCCCAGCCCCAAGGAGCTCCCATAGCTCCGGGAGCCCCCATAGCCTCGGGAGCTCCCATAGCTCCCCAGGGAGCCCCCATATCCTGAGAAACCCCCATGACCCCGGGAGCCCCCATATCCAAGGGAGCTCCCATGGCCTGAGAAACCGCCATAGCCCTGCGAGCCTCCATAGCCCCCATAACCTCCCAAGCCACAGGAGCTCCTATAACCAGGGGAGCCCCCCGACCCAAAGGAGCCCCCATAGCTCTGGGAACCTCCATAATGTCCCCACCCAAAGGAGCCCAAATTCCCCCGGGAACCCCCATAACCTCCAGACCCAAAGGAACCCCCATAGCCAGAGGAGCCCCCCAAGGCCAGGGAGCCCCCATAACCTCCAGACCCAAAGGAGCCCCCATAGCCAGAGGAGCCCCCCAAGGCCAGGGAGCCCCCGTAACCCCCAGATCCTCCCAGCCCAAAGGAGCCCCCATAGCCCTGGGAGCTGCGGGAACTGAAGGAACGCTCCGGCCAGGCTGGGCCCGACGATCCCACAATGCTCTCCTGAGGGAAGGTGCTGAGCACGGGGCCCGGGATGGTCACCACCACCGGTGGGGGCAGGATCAGGGCTCTGGAGTCGGGGCACTGCTGCACACACGGCTCGTTGGTGCTCTCGGCAATGGGCTGGGGGCAGGTCACGCCGCAGGACTCGCTGGAGCAGGACATCTTTCTGTGCTGAGAGGCTGCAACGCACAGCAGAAAGGACTTTAAAGCTAAACTGGCTGAGAAGAATCAAAATTAAATTCTGTGTCTGAAATATCAGAGGGAAACAGATAAATTCAAAGGTGATATCAAAGATATGTCATTATTGTATCATCTCCACCTTCAACCTTCCCCTCACCGTGATCATCCTTGCAAGAGAAATTCTGTGCTGGATAAATGAAACAAACTTGTAGTAACCTCTGTCAAAGATTCAGTCAAAGGTGTACAACCAGCAAGAAAGAAGCCAAGAGGAAGAGAGAAAGAGGCCCATTGACTTTATGCAGTGATTCTGGGGATGAGTGACACCACTTACCTTGTTCGCTGCAGGGACGGGAACAGGAGCAGTGGATGAAGGGCTGTAGGTGATGTGAGCTTTTATATCCTCCTCAAAGCCACCCTCTGAGCCTCCCGTCCTTGTTTATTACAAAACCAACGCCACAGTGGGTGCTTCCATTCTGTCACCTCAGCACTGTCCCTCCCAAACTCGCGTGGCTATGACACAACGGCTGATGGCAATCAGCTCCCTCTGAGCCCGATCCGAGGGGATTTGGGGAATTTGGGGCTGAAGTGTGGGCATGGAGTCATCAATTAAAGCCAGTTCTGTTTCAGTCCAATTTTAATGTCCTGTTAAATATTTTAATTGTCACGGTAACACTTCCATGGCATGGAGCCCTTTGTGGTGCCACCTTCACCAGGTGAAGGTTTGCCCAGCTGGACCTAAAATTGTGGCTCTGAGAGGACATGAATTCTCCTTGTAGCTGAGTAGGGATCAATAAAAATTGTCCCCAAAGAGGCAGAAATTGGTACAGCCAGAAGAGGCCTCAGCCTAAAGCTAATTCCAAACATTTCATGATTTCATTTGAAATCTCAATTCCCAGAACTTCAGTGCGAAATACATTAAAAATCACAATTTTCTTCCCCCTCTCCCACACGAATACTGACCACTACAGAAAAAAAGTGAGAATTTAATAAAGTAGTAATAAAATAAAAATATTTTTTATTAGGTTGAGTCTGGGACATCCTGTAGTTATTTCTTTTCTTTCCTCTTGCAATTGTTTTCTAATTTTATGACATTGCAAAAGAGATGCAATAAATTACCTCTAAATTGTAAAATAGCTCTGCTTGTGAAGTGTCATCAGGATTTGCTGATAATAATGAGAGGTACTGAAGGATAATGACTTTAAGCTGCCTCACTTATTATAATAAATACTCATTAATAGTCAGTGCTTGCAATTTCTATTATCCTATTAAATGGAGGTTGGGAGTTATGAGGATTTATTCTGAGTTAGGAGCTCCCTTGTTATGAAACAGCATCATTTAAAAATATCAATCAATGTCACTCCTCTTGATTCCTTAATCAGCCTCTGATTAATAATTTCAGTGCTGGCAATGATTTAATTTTCATTCATGAGCTCAAATTCTTTATTTTATTAACTATTAACGTGTTTGGGATGACTATGACAAGTACATCACCTGCCATATTGAGTGCAGGTTCTTCTTCATTTATGAGGCAGCATTTTGCTGAAATATCTTAAATTTTAGGAGAGAAAGAAAAGCTTGATTGCAAATTATCTGAATTTGCAGATAATAAACTAACTTAACTATCAATATTCTTCACAAAAGGGGTCTCAAACTGATGTTCTAAAATCTTGATTCTTGGAGTCTCACCTGTAAATATTTTGTCCATGAAATTGTGCCTCATGATGCAGAGCCCTCAGCTCATGCGTCTCTGAGCTGACGCTCCTGCCCCAGTTTTGGGTGCTGACATTTCTGTGTTCGTGTCTAACACACCAAATATGAATTTCCTGTGGGTGTTCACAAAGCCCCTCATGGTCCTGGAATGATCTGGAACATCCCCCAAGTGTCACTGCCTCCATGACATTCCAAAGCCAGTAGGGAATGCAGCAATGGAGTCCAACTTGGAATTCTTGAGTAATTAATGGTATTTGAGCTGAAAACACAGATCCTAAAACTCCTCACATTTCTAAAGCATTTGGAGATAATTGATATTTTCTTCATTTTTGATACCCGTCTCCCTCTCTTTGTGTGTCTCTCATAGATTTTCAAGGGACTCACTTAAATTTTAAAAGACAAAGTTAATTAATCTGAACTCATCGAATCCAAAGACAGCGCTCGTGATGGGGATTATTACCTCATCATTCACCAGCTCGATGCCCTAAAGTCTGTCTTGACATGGCCTCACGCCTGTTTTTGCTTGTGGGGAGTGGCAGTGCAAAGCCAGCAGAATTAAATCCCTCCATGTGAGGGTTGTTTTGTGTGGGACCGGAGGCACGGAGGGCGTTTTGTCCTTGTAAGCACTTTGGGAAATGTATAAAAGCTGCCACCACTCCGAGCTTCTCCATCCACATCTCCTGAGTTATTCACCTTGGTGAACAGGGTAAGTCCGATTTGAACTCCTCTATCCTTCTCTATCCTTCTTTTTCTCCATCCAATTCTTTGATGTTATGCATTGGCAGATTTAAAAACTGTGGGTCTCAGAAGGCAGTTGTAGAATAAAATGTGAATTTTCACCACGCCACTTGGAATAACCATTTTAGGTACAATGCGTGACCGTAAAATTTAAAAATATCTGAGTGATCATTCCCAACTTGTGGGAATATAAAGGTAAATGTTCTGGTTTGGAAGCTGAGGGCTACTTGGGAAAGGATATAAAACTACAAAAATTGCTGCTTCGTATCTTAACACTTCTTAACTTCCTATAGATACATTGCCAGATTTCACCTGGACATACTAAATTTAAAAAGAGATAAAACCAGATTTTTGTCACAGTGTAAGAAGCATCACCAGAGATGACACCAGATGTTTTCATCTGTGTGACTTCTCAGGGACCTTATGACAGCAACCAGAATCTAGAATGTGATTTTTGTAGTCAGATAAGGGTCAGATTTGGAAAGCAACAAACTCTGGGCTCTCACATTTTCCATGGCAAAGCACAGGCAGAGTCAGGTGAAAATTTCTGGATCTGAAACCTTTCTCCTGCTGTGCGTTGCAGCCTCTCAGCACAGAAAGATGTCCTGCTCCAGCGAGTCCTGCGGCGTGACCTGCCCCCAGCCCATTGCCGAGAGCACCAACGAGCCGTGTGTGCAGCAGTGCCCCGACTCCAGAGCCCTGATCCTGCCCCCACCGGTGGTGGTGACCATCCCGGGCCCCGTGCTCAGCACCTTCCCTCAGGAGAGCATTGTGGGATCGTCGGGCCCAGCCTGGCCGGAGCGTTCCTTCAGTTCCCGCAGCTCCCAGGGCTATGGGGGCTCCTTTGGGCTGGGAGGATCTGGGGGTTACGGGGGCTCCCTGGCCTTGGGGGGCTCCTCTGGCTATGGGGGCTCCTTTGGGTCTGGAGGTTATGGGGGCTCCCTGGCCTTGGGGGGCTCCTCTGGCTATGGGGGTTCCTTTGGGTCTGGAGGTTATGGGGGTTCCTTGGGCTATAGGGGCTCCTCTGGCTATGGGGGCTCCCTTGGATATGGGGGTTCCCGGCATTATGGGGGTTTCTCAGGCCATGGGGGCTCCCTTGGATATGGGGGCTCCCTGGGCTATGGGGGCTCCTTTGGCCTGGGAAGCTGTGGGGGTTATGGGGGCTCCCAGGGCTATGGGGGCTCCCTGGGGGGCTATGGGGGCTCCTTTGGGGGCTATGGAGGATCCCTCGGGGGTCATGGAGGCTCCTTTGGGGGCCATGGGGGCTCCCTCGGGGGCTATGGGGGCTCCTTTGGCAATTGCGGGAGGTCCTACAGCTCCGGCTTCTCCTCGCGGGGCCTGGGCTATTCGCTGCCTGGCTCCCAGAGATGGGGCAGGTCCCGCCGGGGAAGCTGTGGGGTTTTCTAAAGCCCCCCTGGCAGTGCCAGCCCCCAGAGGCAGTGCCGGCCCTGGAGCCCAGTTCGGGCCATGGGGACACCAGGCAGGAGCTGCTGGCAGTGGCAGCTGAGTGTGCCCAGCAGCCCTGGGTGTGCCCTGAGCCCTCCCTCCCCTCCCTCTGCCCTGAGCCCTCCATCCCCTCGGGATGCCCTGAGCCCTCCATCCCCTCAGGTTTCCCTGAGCCCTCCATCCCAACTCTGTGCCCAGACCCCTCCATCCCTGGCCTATCCTGGTCCTGAGCAAGTCCCTGCGTACGAGTCCTGCATTCCCTACTGCCCCTGGGACCACCTGGATTCCCTGCCCTTGGCTGCTGCTTTTCTCTCTAACATTAAACCCATGTTGGTGTTGCACAAGAGTCTCTCTGGTTTTCATTTGTCCTTGTTTTCCTCTGGGGGGATATTCTCTCTTGTGCTGGGAGTAGATGCCTGGAGTTCCTCATTTGGCTGAGGCCCTTGGTTCTGTGTCATTTGGGAGAAGGAGACAAAGAGACAGGAGTCAGATGCAGGAAAACTTTATTGTACCAAGAAGGGCAGGAGAGGCAGGGAGAGGGATGGTGGGCAGGCAACAGGCAGGCCGGGTGTCATGGGCTGCAGGAGGCCAGGGCAGCTTGTGCAGAGCTCAGCTTCTCCATGCTGGGCTGAGGCAGCCACGGGGGTTTGGGACTGTTGGTGGTGGCTCTAGCAGGGCCCGCAGGTGTCCCAGAACTTCTTGCTGTAGCGGGGCAGGACGCAAGGGCTGCAGGCGGGAGCAGCGTAGGCTCTGCCAAAGGTGCAGAGGCCTCCCGAGGCCTGGGTGGCGCCGGCGCCGTAGAGGCCGCCCAGCCCCAGGGAGCCAGCAAAGGCCGGTGCTCCGGAGGAGCCCACCACGGCCTGCTGGGGGAAGGAGCTGAGGATGGGGCCGGGGAAGGTGACCACCACGGGTGGTGGCTGGATGAAGGCAGAGGAGTCGGGGCACTGGCGGGCGCACAGCTCGTTGCAGCTCTCAGCGATGGGCTGGGGCACAGCCACGCTGGTTCTGGGGGGGCACAGGTCGTAGCAGGACATTTTGGCGTGAGAGAGATGAGGCTGAAAGAGAATTCAGAAAAAGAGGCGTTAGAACACGCATGGGGATCTCTCAGTTCAGCAGTGGCTTGTTTTCCCAGACCTGACGAAGTCTTTGAGTGGCCAACGGCAACAAAAGCCAAACAGCCTTGCCAACCCTGCCCAGCGCTGGCCTTTTGTCCTGCAGCCCCCTCGGTGCCTTGACCCCCACACGTTCAGGCCTTACCATCCCTGACCAAGTCCTTGTGCCCAGTCTGGATCCTTCTGTCCCAGCCAAGGGGTCATAGCAGGACATCTTACAGGGCTCAGTGTTGGTTTGCAACACATAGAAATGTAAAAACTATAAAAACTCAGAAGTTGATGAGAGAGATTTTCAACATGAGTGAAATCACTCTGTTGTGGTTTATGTTCAGCCTTGATTGTGGTGGTGAACACCCACTGAGCACCTTGATCAAAAAATTCCTGCCTATGTAAATCCTCCCCCAGAGACTGATCTTTGTTCTGGCCCCACATGGTTGTGTTGTTCAGCTTTTGGAAATGCCTACCCTGAAGAGCAATATAAGAACCCCAGTCCCATCTCCCATGAACTTCCCTAAAGTTGGGAAGTTAGGAAGATCTGGGGACTCCCAAAGATTTGGGGACCCCCAAATCCCACATTTGCCACTGGTTTCATTAAGAGTAATTCCAGACAGAAACAATGTTCTAGAACATTTAGAATAAAGCTGAATCTAGAATAAAGCTGAATCTAGAATAAATCTGAATCTAGAATAAAGCTGAATTTAGAATCTCAGCATTCCTAAAGGAATCTTCTACAACTGCTCTGGTACAGGCTTTGATTAAATAAATAGAAAGAAATTAAAAATTCATACTCACTAATCTCCACAAGGCGAATGAACTGTGAGAAGTGTCTGGATGGACCCAGGCACTGGAGCTTATATAGAGGATCCCAACATTCCTGAGGGCTTGGAATCTTGCTTGGAGTGGGGGTTCTGCCTGAAATAAATTGTTTACCAGCTTTGAGTCACAAAAGTTTGGAGTTTGTATCAGTTCTGATTTCATTCACATTCTCCTATCATGTGATGTCGGAGTTTCACCATCTTGATTTCTTTAATCTTGGGTCTTAATTGGTGCTGGCAACTCCTGGCATGATTAGAGTGACCTCACTGGAATTACTATGTTCATTAGGCCGCCCAGCCCCAGGGAGCCAGCGAAGGCCGGTGCTCCGGAGGAGCCTACCACGGCCTGCTGGGGGAAGGAGCTGAGGATGGGGCCGGGGAAGGTGACCACCACGGGTGGTGGCTGGATGAAGGCAGAGGAGTCGGGGCACTGGCGGGCGCACAGCTCGTTGCAGCTCTCAGCGATGGGCTGGGGCACAGCCACGCTGGTTCTGGGGGGGCACAGGTCGTAGCAGGACATTTTGGCGTGAGAGAGATGAGGCTGAAAGAGAATTCAGAAAAAGAGGCGTTAGAACACGCATGGGGATCTCTCAGTTCAGCAGTGGCTTGTTTTCCCAGACCTGACGAAGTCTTTGAGTGGCCAACGGCAACAAAAGCCAAACAGCCTTGCCAACCCTGCCCAGCGCTGGCCTTTTGTCCTGCAGCCCCCTCGGTGCCTTGACCCCCACACGTTCAGACCTTACCATCCCTGACCAAGTCCTTGTGCCCAGTCTGGATCCTTCTGTCCCAGCCAAGGGGTCATAGCAGGACATCTTACAGGGCTCAGTGTTGGTTTGCAACACATAGAAATGTAAAAACTATAAAAACTCAGAAGTTGATGAGAGAGATTTTCAACATGAGTGAAATCACTCTGTTGTGGTTTATGTTCAGCCTTGATTGTGGTGGTGAACACCCACTGAGCACCTTGATCAAAAAATTCCTGCCTATGTAAATCCTCCCCCAGAGACTGATCTTTGTTCTGGCCCCACATGGTTGTGTTGTTCAGCTTTTGGAAATGCCTACCCTGAAGAGCAATATAAGAACCCCAGTCCCATCTCCCATGAACTTCCCTAAAGTTGGGAAGTTAGGAAGATCTGGGGACTCCCAAAGATTTGGGGACCCCCAAATCCCACATTTGCCACTGGTTTCATTAAGAGTAATTCCAGACAGAAACAATGTTCTAGAACATTTAGAATAAAGCTGAATCTAGAATAAAGCTGAATCTAGAATAAATCTGAATCTAGAATAAAGCTGAATTTAGAATCTCAGCATTCCTAAAGGAATCTTCTACAACTGCTCTGGTACAGGCTTTGATTAAATAAATAGAAAGAAATTAAAAATTCATACTCACTAATCTCCACAAGGCGAATGAACTGTGAGAAGTGTCTGGATGGACCCAGGCACTGGAGCTTATATAGAGGATCCCAACATTCCTGAGGGCTTGGAATCTTGCTTGGAGTGGGGGTTCTGCCTGAAATAAATTGTTTACCAGCTTTGAGTCACAAAAGTTTGGAGTTTGTATCAGTTCTGATTTCATTCACATTCTCCTATCATGTGATGTCGGAGTTTCACCATCTTGATTTCTTTAATCTTGGGTCTTAATTGGTGCTGGCAACTCCTGGCATGATTAGAGTGACCTCACTGGAATTACTATGTTCATTAAGCTGACTCCTCATGTTGCTTCTTCCTTTACAACCTTGTCATGAGCTTGTCTGCTCCAAGATTTTGTAAGACTCATCTTTGGCTGACATGGACATTTTTCCTTAACAGCCTTTAAAATTATCTGATAGATTAATTAGAAGCAGAAACCAGCTTATTCCAGAACTACACAGGAATAAATGTGTTTCCAGCCCTAATTAAAGAGACTTGTTGGTCTGAGATGGATTTACGGGGTCATGAATACCTGCTGAGATCATCCTGAACACTCAGCAATTCCCCAATAATTTTCCATTGCGAGGAAGTTTTGGGATCAATCCCACATAAAAATCACTTTGTTTAACTAAAAAGGTTTTAGTGGAAAATGAAATTCAGTTTTAAAAGGGTTGATGGTGCTGAATGCTCCCATATCAAGTCCTGTGATTCCAATTTTGAGGAAAAAACCAAAGAGGCAGATCAAGGTGTTTCTTTAATGTCATGGGTGCAATCTCTTATCAAGAGTGTTCTGGCCCTTCTTGAGAAAAATACTTTGTAATGATTTCACAAACATTCATTATCTGCTGTTCAACCCAGCTAATGTTCGGTGTTGTATGACATTAATGATTTAGACATTTCACTCTTACACAATCCCAGCTGCTTTAATGTGCAGGAAACAAGGTGTTGCCTGCCATTACTTTAATTAAATCATTATTTGTGCCATTGGAAGTCAAGGGTTAATAACTAATGCAGCTCTTCTTTTCCTTCTTTAAAAAAAAAAATCCTGTCCATATCTGTGGTTGAATCCTCTATGAGTTTAAGATTCCACCTTTGTTGTATTAGCCTTACTTCAAGCTATATTTTCCATAAAAAAATAAATATTTGTGATTATTTACCCTTTTCCTGTGATTTTTCAGGGCACAACTTTTAGGTTTTCACCTGTATCCAGTGCATTTTACAGACCCTTCTTGTCATTCCTGAGACATCCCCCCAGAGATCTGCTCTGAATTCCTATGCTGAAGTTTGGTTATTGTGGTCCAGGTTTATGCCAATATTTTAATTTTCTTTGAAAGTGAAAAAGGATTTGGGTTTAGGTTTGTGTTTTGTTTGTTGCCCCAACAATTTTCCCTGTATTTGCTGCAGGGGAAGGAAAAAAAAAGATTCTCCAAGGACAGAAAGGGTTTGAGTGGTTCCCACATCTCCCAGCCTGGAGTGGATTTCCTTGCCTTGATTTATATTTTACAAAAATCTGACAGTCAGAGCAAGTTGTGCCTCATCCCTGGCACAAACTCCCTTCAAATCCAACCCCTTTTGATGGGATGCATCAAAACCCTTGTGGGCAGCGGGGGGGGGGGACTCTGCCCTGCTCAGGTGAGACCTCACCTGCAGAGCTGCCCCAGCCCTGGATCCCAGCCCAGGGAGGACCTGGAGCTGCTGGAGAGTGCCCAGAGGAAGCTCCAGGGTTGGAGCAGCTCTGCTGGGAGGAAAGGCTGAGAGAACCGGGATTATTCTGTTTGGAGAAGAAGAAGCTCTGAAGTGACCTCACTGTGGCCTTGCAAGACCTGAAGTGGCTAAAAGAAACATGGGGAGAGGCCTTTCCCAAGGGATGGGGTGACAGGACAAGGGGGAATGGGTTCAGTCTGACAGGGAGGGGGTTTAGATGGGATTTTGGGGATAAATTCTTCCCTGTGAGCTTGGGGAGGCCCTGGCACAGGATATTCCATGGCTGCCCCATCCCTGGCAGTGTCCAAGGCAGGGTTGGACAGGGCTTGCAAAAACCTATGGTGGTGGAAGATGTCCCTGCCCATGGTAGGGTGTGGAACGAGATGATTTTAAGATCCTTTCCCACCCAAAACAGTCCATGATTCCTCGATTGCCTCTCTCCACTTTGTATTAAAAACACCGCAATTTCAGCACTCTCTGGACTACAAAACTTATTTGGAGAGGCTCCTGTGAGGAAAAAAAACCCCTCTACGTGCAGATGTACTTGAGCCTCTGAGGAACAAGGGCTGTGAGAGCACTTCGGAAGCACTGAGCAATGCTCTCTGCTCCCTGTTTTGTTGTTTTGTAGCCCTTGCATGTCCCAGGGCTGAGTAACAGCACCCAAAGCAGGGAGGAGCTGCCAGGCACCTCAGCCCTGATCAGATCGTTCGTAGCCGCTGGGTTTGGCCAGGCCAGGCCCAGCCCTGCTCTTACTTTCCCTTTTGTGTCATCCAGGGCAGGCTGCTCCTCTCAGAGTGGCTCTGGCACTCCCAGGCCCTCTCCAGTGGCTCTCCAGTGATTTAAGCAACCAGAAATGGTCAGGTTGAATAGCTCTGTTATGAGAAGCTAAGACCTCAAGTGAGTACTCAGCATAATTTAAAATAAAAAAAGATGAAAACACAAAAATTCAGTACATAAGAGATTTATTGCAGGAACAACTTGAATAAATCACAGAGAGGACAAAGGAAAACATGGGAAAACAAGATGTACAAACAGAACCAAAAAAATAAAGCTAAAATTTTTAAGCCATGCAGTTGTCAAAAAGCAGAGCTAAATAAATGCAAATATGACAAGAGGTTGATATAAAGGACATAAACAATAAAGATCAAAGATAAGAAATGAAAAAATGAAATTGTTATAAATAACACATTCACAAAAGAAGACATGAGGGAATAAATCTTCAAACTAGAGACAAAGTAAAATACTAAACACAGGAAAAGAAAAGCTTGAAAGGAAAAAGTAATGGTAGCAACAATTCAGATGAACAACTCCGAGATTCCTCCATGGCTGACAGAGGCAAAAGGGTCTGAGATGAGTCTAGCAGGGCCCGCAGGTGTCCCAGAGCTTCTTGCTGTAGCGGGGCAGGACGCAAGGGCTGCAGGCGGGAGCAGCGTAGGCTCTGCCAAAGGTGCAGAGGCCCCCCGAGGCCTGGGTGGCGCCGGCGCCGTAGAGGCCGCCCAGCCCCAGGGAGCCAGCAAAGGCCGGTGCTCCGGAGGAGCCCACCACGGCCTGCTGGGGGAAGGAGCTGAGGATGGGGCCGGGGAAGGTGACCACCACGGGTGGTGGCTGGATGAAGGCAGAGGAGTCGGGGCACTGGCGGGCGCACAGCTCGTTGCAGCTCTCAGCGATGGGCTGGGGCACAGCCACGCTGGTTCTGGGGGGGCACAGGTCCGCGCTGGATTTCGGGGGGCACAGGTCGTAGCAGGACATCTTGGCGTGGGATCCGAGGGTGCTCTGCAAGAGAGGGCAGCCATGGCATGAGAGCAGCCCAGGGCAGCACCTGAGCCACAAGGGCCAGGGCTGGAGGAGGGAGCTGCGAGCAGAAGTGTTTGCACAATTACCCTTGTTCCCGAGGAGGAGAAGATGGCCAGGGCAGCGCTTGGTCCAGTCTGGTCCAGACAGGGCTTTTATAGCAGCTCTAGCATTGCTCAGCTCCAGCTGGGCCGATCTGGAGCCCATTCCTCGGTACCATCCTGGCTATCAAGTCTCTCACGTGGCAGGAAGGACAAGATGGCTTGGGCCGTGGGATGTGCTGGGCTGGCACCTGGGGGATGCTGACTCAGGGAGGGGCAGGGGCCTCACAGCCCTGGTGTCAGCAGCAGCAGCAGCAGGGAGTGTCCCCTGTCCAGATTGGCCCAGCTGGAGCTGAGCAATGCTGGGGCTGCTATAAAAGCCCTGCCTGGGCCAGACTGGACCAAGCACTGCCCTGGCCACCTTCTCCTCGGGAACAAGGGTAAGTGTGCGAGAGCTTCTGCTCATGGCTCCCTCCTCCAGCCCTGGCCCCCATGGCTCAGGTGCTGCCCTGGGCTGCTCTCCTGCCATGGCTGCCCTCTCTTGCAGAGCACCCTCGGATCCCACGCCAAGATGTCCTGCTACGACCTGTGCCCCCCGAAA